TAGAATCAACCGTAAGTCAGCGAGTAGGCTGTGTGTTGAGCTATAAATAACCTATTAAATAGGAAACTCGGATTGCATGCTCGCACTATAAGAAATTGAGAATTGCTATTTCTCACCGGTGGTGATTGTCACCACCTAAGGAATTAAATTTGCATGGGGCGGAGTTAGGGTTGGGATTAATCATAAATTGTATAATTCCTTAGATGGTGACAATCACCACTGGTGAAAAATAGCAATTCTCTAAGAAATTAATTTTAAAAATGAGTGATCTGCATCAATTTTAAATAAGGATCGGTGGGGATAATTACATTAATAAAACGCGTATATCTCAATAATCTCCAACCAATTTTCCAAAAAAAAAAATAAAAATGACTAACCAACCCTTATTAAAGTAAATTTAATCTCATTAGGTTCAATTATTCCTCATTTACATTATGGACCAAATTTACAGCACTGGTGGTCCCTACATAATAAAAAAAACTTGGAGGATGGTGTCTTATTATACCCTATACATGTTGGATGGCAAACAGTTTTAGAAACAAATAATAAACACTTTTACACTCAAGTCCAAGAAGGGAATGAAAATTATGAAAATTGACCTGGTTATAAGTGTCATATTGGTGCAAAATATAGTGATGTTGAAGAAAAGCCAAGTCCAGCAGTTAATTCTTTGCATAGATGAGTTTTTCCAGCAAGTCATACAAATTATTCTGGACCACAAGTACTGGGATGGACTAATTCTGAACTACTAGAGCAATCATTGACAGGGATTGAGTTTCGACCATTTTTGATAAAAATTGACAGATATAATATATATGTTACTGCTTTAGGATGTCCAGATGAAATTAGCAATTTTGGAGCTGGGATTGGGTATTCAGCAACATTTGTTGGTGAATATTTAGATAAAGGGGCAACGTATATTCAAAGAATTGATGTAGATGGATGCCATATTGAAATTTTTCAAGACAATGAATTAAAAAAAGAGTATTTAGGAACATCCCCAAATGATGTTTGGATCAAGTCAAAAAAATTGAAAAAATTTCAAGGAACTCAACTTTTTGGACTGGAACATTTATTAACAAAGAAAATTTTGGCAGAGTTCAAAATCCCAAAATGTGATGCAAAGTTTTGGGAAAATATAAATATCATGAACCTAGTGTTCCATGTCGCAATCCAAAAAAGGAAACAAAATGGTCGTAAAGGTGGTTGCAACCAGTGGTTGCAATCATTTTTATATGACGCAAAGGTGGTAGCAACCATCATCAAAAGTTGCAGCCGGTATCCTTACATGAACCACCTTTATAATTACCATCTTCGACACCAAACTAAATCTAACATCCAATGGCACCAGTTTTTCATAAGATGGAAAAATAATTCAAGCACAATAATAGAATTTAATTCTCTTTAGCAGAACTTTACCCATCAGGATATACTTTCAAAGAACGTGAACTTAGAGCATGGAGAGTAATGCTTAAAGCAGCTGGTTGCCATAATGTAACTCCATTTGAAGATGATGAATCTAAGGTAATTTAATGAAGATAAGTTTAAATTCAATTTTTATTTAAAATTAATAAATTTGAAAAAAAAAATATATAGTATCAATTTTGGAGTTGTTCACTAAATACATTACAAGATCAACAAACACTTTCTCAGTTGTATTCTCAGGGGTTTCTATCACCAACACCAATACATAAAAAAACTCCAATAGATGAAGAGCATATAAGCAAAAAATTTTGGGAATGTTTTGGAGAAGCACTAAATAAAAATAAAAAAGAACAAGATGGTTGTATTCGTGTGCTGTCAATAATTGCAAACAAATTTACCTATGCTGAATTGCAGAAAAGCTTTGTGTAAGTAAATTGTCACATCATTAAAATTTTTGAAATTGTATTTATATTATTTACTTCTAATAATAATTAAAAAAAAATACTTATGTTTATGAAGCTTTCAGCAAACAGTGTGACCAGTGCCAGATTATATGCTAAAACCAATGGTCCTGGTTGTCTTGCATTAAGCAAACCTGCAATCACTAAAGTAAAACTGTCAAAAGAATAACTGGATCAATTTATGACATTTTTACTTGATAAAAATAATACAACACCAAGTTCATATAAGGTAAATGAAGCAAGTGGCCTACCTGTAATGTATTTAAAAAACAATAAAGAATCATTATGGCAGCGTTTTTTTGAATTATACCCAGATGGTATGAAAAGGACAGCTTTTATGACAAGATTAGAAGATAGCCAATTTGTATATCATGGAGATCTTGGTGGCTTGTGTTTGACATGTAATGAATATGGATTTGGTGTTTTTGAAGAGATGAAATCACTTGTTCAAGAAAAAATTAATAGAAAAGATATCCAGGTTAGTGAATTGATGCTCAAATGATTTTAAAGAAATATTTTTAAATTTTGATTATTCATTATTAGAATGAATTGATAACTCAACTTGAAAAAACACAACGTCATTTGAATCGAGAATATGGAAATGAATTGATTATAGATGACCTTGGTAATGTGCAGCATGATAATTGTATTGAACATTGTTTAAACTTTGCATTTGGTGATTGCAATGAACATCATCCTATTAGTTGTGAAAATTGTAGTCAAATAGATCTTATTTTCCAAAAGATTCTAAATTTACTCCGAATGAAAAAAGCCAAATAATTGAACTCTGGGAAAAATTACAATATTTCTGGGCTCACCAAGCCAGGAAAACATATCTCAATGCACAATCTAAAGCTGCATTACTTCGTCTAGATAAGGATGGTGCTGTGATCATAGTTGACTACAAAATGAAGATTTTGCCTCAATCAGCACGAGAGGTGAAATCTGATTTTTTTGGAAAAAAAGGATATACTTTGCATACCTTACTAGTATATACAAGAAAATCTGATGATTCTACTTCATTGAATCTTGAGGTTTTAGGTCATTGGTCATCTGACCCAACACAAGATGCTTGGTTCACAGCATCATCCTTTGATGGTTTATTTTCTACAATGGAAAAAAAACCTTTATGGATTGAAGTGTTGTCTGATAATGATGCACATTATCATAATAAAGAGTTGATGATGATGATTAGTCAATGGAGTAAATGGTATAATATAAAAATAAGATCATGGATTTTTTTGGAACCTGGTGAAGCAAAGACTACTGTTGATTCCCACCATGCACATGTATGTTAATTTTATTAAAAAATTTTTACCTATATATAGAGTAATAAATAAATTTGATAATTTTAGTTAAAGCATGCAATAAAACGATATGTACATATTGGATATGATATCTGGAGTGGGGAAGATATAGTAAATGCAGCAAAAGGACTTCAAGGAACATCTATTGCAAACCTTAACCCTAATGAAAGACCAAAAAAAGCAAATAAAACATTATCCATTCTAGAAGGTATTACAAATTGGTCATATTTCACTTGGCCTACAGATGGTGACTTATCTGGCTATATTTGTGCACGTTCTTTACCCAATTTTGGTACATGGAATACCTTTTCACCATTTGATATTAAGAAATCTCTAAAAGGCCAAGAATTAATAAAACCAAATCCATCAACTTCAGTCAAAACAACACCAAGCTCAGAATGGACCATCCCATTGCCTAGTAAAGGTAGGATAAAGTTTAATTTTAATTTAAGACAAATTATTAATGAAATGAATTAAATTATTTTATTTATAATCACTATTATTATACTATATATTTGTTTTATTATTACTACTAATACCAATTCTATTAATAAATTTTTTTTGTTCAAATTTATTGTTTATTATTATCTTATTATCTTTATAATTTTTTCTTTTCCACAATTAATTTTTTTCAGAGAAAGATCCAAATAGATTGTCCAAGGATGTTGTAAAAGCTGAATTGAAAAAAAGAAAAATTGAGTATGAAGAGAAGGAAAGTAAAAATGAATTAGTAGAAAAACTACGAAAGCAAATTGGAGAAGAAACTCTAAACAAATCAAAGGTATATTATATAAATCTAAATAAACATTTCCTTATCTGAGCTTATTTCCCCTATGAAAATTTGTGTAGAAATTCATTCACAAGGTGCAGTGTTGAACAATGTACCATCCATATCAATTGAAATATCCAAAACAAAAAAATGCAGTATAATGATACCTGGGAATGAAGATGAAGCAGTAAAAAAGAATGAATACAGGCACTTATAATAATAATAATGGACCTTTCTATAATGGGTCTTGCTCTATAACAGACTGAGAATTTAAGTCTTGTTTATAACAGACATTTTTTCCTAAGTGAACTATAAATAGGAAAAAAAATTAATAAAATAATAAATAATAAATTAACAAATTTTAAAATTTTCTAGAGGGAATTACTTTGAACTGGGTTGGGCTCTTCGTGAAAACCAAAATTTTGGAAAGCATGGTGGAAGTAAATGCATGTCTGAACAGGTAAAACAACTTCTAAGAGCCTATTTTTTGTCAGGAAATATAGACAAGAAGAATAGATTCACTGCTGAAATGATGCTTGCAGATCTAAAACAAAGAGTAGAAGCAGGCATGTTGGATCCGAATGAGTTACCAAAAATAAAAACTATAGAAAATTGGATAATGCATTTTAGTAGAGAACATAAAAAAGAGTCAGCTGAGAAAGAATTGGACATTATGTTATAAACATACAAACCAATAAACATAATTTTTAGTTTTAAGTCATTTTATTATGCGTAAAAAAGTTGGTTTTATACCCATAATCCCCAATCAAGATTGAAATAGTGCAAAAATGGCTTGGACAAAAAAAATTTTTTTTGATAAAAATATTCATAACAGTCTGTTTATTGATATCCTAATGTTTGTTTTACAAAAATGCAAATGAAAACATGATGTTACAGTAGTAAAGTAAGGCAAACTGGATGATTTTTACTATAAAATGTTGTAAATGCACCCCACTAATCACTAATTAACATTCACTCATTTTTAAAAGAATCACGAATTAATGATTATAGATGATCTGCACCTTACTATTTTTTCAATGAAAAAGATCTGCATAAAATTTAGCCAATCAATTTTGTTTTGATGTTTTTTCTAGAGTATTTTTAAAATTACACAATGAATCTAATTACTATGGTATTCAGAAATTCTAAATTTGGAAATCTCCCTGACTGTACATATATAAACTTGATAAGTTGGTCACTCAATAAGTCAGTCTCACTATTAAGGTTGCTTGCCAAAACTCCTCCAGAAATCAATCAGCAGGGTTACACATTAATTGTTTATTAGAGTTTTGGCAGAGTTTCACATTTTGAGGTTTTGCCATTTCGGCATAGTTTCAACAGGATTTTTGATAAGATTTAATAGAGTTTTACCATGGTTTCAGCAATTACTAAGGAGGTTTCGCCCACAACCTTACTCACTATAAGTTGGCCAAAATTTTCACCCCATTTTCTTAATATTTAAGTAATTTAATTTGATAAGTCAGTTTACTCAATAATTCAGTCATATGAGCACACCCCACTAAGAATACTGGCTGCAACTTTGATGATGGTTGCTACCACCTTTGTGTCATATAAAAATGATTGCAACCACTGATTACAACCACTTTTACAACCATTTTGTTTCCTTTTTGGGTTGCAACATGGAACACTACACCACACATGGCTGACTATCAAGTTTACATATGTAACGTATGTATTGGATTTCCCAACTGTTTTAAAATATTTTAAAACTTACAATAAAAAAGCATGAATTAAAAGAAACAATAATCACATTACCACTAGATACTGAATATTGGAGCAGTTTAGACAGTCTATGGTATAACCAATATATTTATCATGCCATTAAGGCAAGAAAGGTTTCATACTGTGAGATAGTAAAATAAGGACTGATAGAGAGGTCCTCACTTTGTTGATCAAACCAAACCAACTTACTGTGGAAGTCACGTGACGACCATTATATTTTGTGTAACTGCTGTGTCACACATTGCGCAATGTTACCTAAAAATTATTCCCATTCATATTTCTATATTTATATTTAATAATTATTCAGCTGATGCAATTATTTATTTTTAATTATTAATCATATTTATTTAGTATTAATAAGCATATTTTATTGAACAAAGTAGAATAGAAGTCATGTTATTTGTAATACCTAAGAGGTATAAAAGGACTTGGTTTTAGACTAAGGTTTCTGATCCAAACTGTTTTCTCAAACCCCAAACTAGTTTGGGCAATTTGGGCTTCTCAGCATTTTTTATAAACATGAACATTAAAAACTATACCAGTCAACTTATTTTAACTTAGACAACTTTAAAGTAATTTCACACTAATAACAAAAAATAGTTTGGGCTTATAAAAAAGTAATTTTTGCCCAAAGTGTTTTGGCAATTTCGGCTACTAATAAAGAGAGTTTTGGCCAGAAACCTTATTTTAGACCAAGTCAGAAGGAATGTTCTTAATAATTTAAAAATTAATATTGTAATATTATTGCTAATAAAATATATAACATTTACTTTAAATAATCCTACCTGTAAATTAATAAATAATCCATTTGGGTACATAATATATTGACAGAGGGAAACCTTTGATCTAAGCAGGAACCTAACACTTTAATTATTCAGACATACCTCAGGGGGCAGTACAAATAATGTGATATGTGCTACTCTATTCTCCAATAATATGCTTATCAACTAATTATTAATTCTAAATAAATATTTACATCAGATGAGAAGGTTAATAAATATTAATATAGAAATATGAATAGGAATAGTCTTTCATATGACACTGCGCAATCTGCGGCGTAGCCGTTACAATAATATATTTAGCGCATCACATGACTCCCGTAGTAAGTTCGTTCTAATTGGTCAATATTAGCCGGGTAATTGATAGGTCCAAGATTTACTATCTCACAATGCATACTGAATGAATTTAGGTCTAGCTTTATGGGCTAGAAAAATAATTTGTTTATTTAACCATTTCCCCCCCCCCCGTTGTTAATAATTAAATAAACACATTTTACCTTATTACGAATTTTTGCATAGTTAATAGGAAGCCATTGTAAATTGTTCCATGGTCCTCTCTGATGATTAGTGGCTAGCCACTAATCATTAGTTAGGAAACCCCCCCCCCCCCGTTTGATTGTTCTATGCTGCTTGTAGGGACGCCTCAAGTGGTATAGTTGTAAATATTTCTTATATATCCTTTTTATTTTATTTTATTTATCATTTTTAGGCCAGCAGTACTTCCATTAGTACTGTAGAGAGAGATTGCGCAAGAGAGGGAGATTTTAGGCTCTGAGCTGTGTGCCAATACAGAGACCTGAAATAGAGTTTTGAGTAGGCTCTGAGCTGTGTGCCAATACAGAGGCCTGGTATATACTTGAGAACCCTGAGCTGTGTGCCGATATAGGGAGATTTATATATTGGACTTTTATTTTATTTTATCTTATATATTTTATTGGACACAACCCAAGCTGTATTCGAATTTACACGCTCGCAGTATTTCAGTGTCCTATAAAACAGTGGAGAGATATAAAAGAACAATAGCAGATAATCATTTAAAAAAATGTATCAATACTTTGAAGAAAATAAACATAAATTATTTTGTTCTAACATTGATGATTGCCATTCAATGCATAGTTACAGAAATCCAAATACAACAACTCTATCATCTGCATATTATATTGCAACATGTGTTGCTAAAACTATAGAGAATAGTTCTCCTATACCAACAATAGAAAATAATATATCAACCCAATCCATAATCCTGGGAATATTGAAGATTGGTGGATTAATAGTATTTAGCACAGGGTTGGCAAATTGACTGGTCCATTGAGAACAGATGGATTTTGGACTGGTCCATTGCCCTTAATAGAATACTAAATATGTTTAAAGTGTTACACTAATGGACCCAATGGACCACCAATAGACCATCAATGGACAGCACATTTGCCAACCCTGATTTAGCAGATATATATATTGATTCATTAAGTAAAAAGTTACAATGTAAAAAAAATATAGTTGGCAAAGTAATAATTTGATTACCACAAATCAGTTTGATAGAATAAAACTTTTAACTGTTCATTCACATAGAGCAATATCATAATGATAGATCAATGATGAATTGTCACTTAGTTAACATGAAAGGATTAAATCTTAAAAACTTAGATGATTATTTAAATGTTATCTAAATGATTACAGACATTCCTTCATTAATTGCTTACCCCAAAAGTATATCATACCAATTGTTGCTGATTTTCCAGGCCAGTTATTTATAAGAAAATAAATAATTTTGCTTCATACACAAAATGAAGGTCAAGGTATATCACCAGAGATACCTGACTTTGTAAATAATTTTGCCCTGATTCTTGGTCCATACATGTAATGTATCATTGAATATGAGAGGACACATTATATTAGCTCATTGGAGTTTTTTGAAAAAATATTTAAATCAATTTTCAGACAAAACAAAATATTAGCACAAAGACCCAAACCTTGGAAAAACAACTTGCTTTTAGGTCAGCATGGCTTGAAATTGCAGAAGAAAATATTTAAAAAAATTTGGACAAGATATTGAATATCAAACATTAATAGATGTTGTGAGATAGTAAATCTTGGACCTATCAATTACCCGGCTAATATTGACCAATTAGAACGAACTTACTACGGAAGTCA